CACGGGGAGGTTGTACAGCTGTGTGCATGTTATGATACAGAGTGCATGTGCGTGCACCTTGTAAGTGGGGTAATTAGGACCCCTCCCCCTCAACCCCGGTTCATTAACCCCCTCCGTGCCGTACCGGCGCTCATGAGGTACTCGCGGTAGCCGGGCAGGAGGAAGAGGCCGCGCAGCGGCGCTAGGACAGGGCGCAGCCCCGGGAAGAGGCGCGGGAAACCGGCGGCCTCGGGGCAGAGCACCGCGAAGGCGCCCGCGCACGCGATGCCGTGTGGGTGCGCGCCTAGCACATAGCTGCGCCCGGGCGGGAGCGGGGCCGTACGCACCACCTGCGGGAGGTAAATGTGGGGTTAACACGGGGAAAGACCATGCGCAGCCCGGGGGGCGGGGGGGTTCATGGGGCTTAAGGCAGGGTGACGGGCATGCGCACCCCTCCCCCTTGCCACGGGGTAATCCCCCCCGCGGTACCTTGATGGGGAAATAGTCACAGAAATGGGTCCAGATCCGCCGGCGCCGCAACCAGTCGCAGGGACGCCCGCCTGGGGAGAGTGGGGACAAAGGTCAGAGGAGTGGGACCCGGGAAGGGCTGCGCCAGCTCACCTCCGACCGAGGGCTGAAGGGAGCAGGGGGCAGCACCCCGATCGGGGGGGGGGGGGGGGGGCAGGGCCCCGACCCGGGGGGTCCCAGTCCAGCAGCCACCAGGCAAAGTAGAGCACGGACACAAGCCAGAGGCGCGTGAAGAGGAGCCAGAGCAGCAGCGCTGTGCACACGGGGCCTGGAGGGGGAAGCGGAGGGGTGAGGGGCAACCCCAGAACACCCTCCCCCCCAATGATCTCAGAGACCCCCAATAATTCCTCAATGCCCCCCACAACCCCAATGACCTAAGACCCCCCGCGCGATCCTCTGTGACCCGCACAACCACCAATGACCCCTCTAGTGACCTGAGACTCCTCGGCTTCCCAGGGACCCCCCTATGACCCCTAATGACCTGAGACCCCAATGACACCCCACAACCTGAGACTGGCCTGAGGCCCTGGTTTCCCAATCACTGCCACAACCTCGAATGACCTCAGACCCCCCAATGACCCTCCACAACCTCAGAGACCTCCAATGACCCCCCAATTACCTCCCGCAGTCCCAAATGACCCGGGGTCATTGACCCCCATGACCTCACACACCCCTATTAAGGCCCAAAGGACCCCCCACTGCCTCTAATGACCCCCCCCGCCCTCCCATGACCTCAGAGACCCCAAATGACCTTTGCACCCCCCACGCACCGAGGAAGAGGAAGGTAAGCATCCATTGCAGGGCACTGAGCACCTCCAGCTGCCGCTTGCTCAGCCCCATGGGCCCATCCAGATGCGGCCGCAGCTGGTGGGGTCGCAGGGCCCGGGTGCAGCTGACTCTGGAGTGGGGGGTGTAACCGGCCCCGGGGCTCGGCCCTGCGCCACGTCCCGCCTGCACCCGCACTTTGCCCCCAGGTGGGGCAAGGAGACGGCCCAGATGCCTGGGGGTGGGGCTGGTGGGGTGGATGCCTGGCTCTGCTGGGAGGGGAGGGGCTGGGAGCAGGGGGGTTCTGGGGTGGGTGAGTCCAGGAGATGCTGAATCCCACCCCCCAACCCCAGCCTTGCCCCTCTCCTGGCAGCACCCTCACATTGGCCCCTCCCACTCCTCCATCAAGTATTAGCTTCAAGTTGACCCCCCACTTCTTGTTCTAGACCGGCCCCAATGATCTGATGTCAGAGCAGACATCATGCCCCCCACATCCATGGCAAGAGGTCAGCCCCCCCACCCCCACATAATCAAGGTGTATGATGGAACATGTCACAGCCCTTAGGGATGTCACAGCTCCTTGTGAGATCCAGAGGGCCTGTGACATCACAACCCCATGACATAGCTTCTTGAGATGTCATAGCCCCTGGGGATGTCAGCCTGCCATGTCACAGCAGATGGTGACATCACTTCCCCACCATGATGCCACAACCCCTTGGCACAGCACAGCCTCTCATCATGTCACAGCTCCCCCTTACGCAGTGCTGTCACACCCCCCAGGGCTGCCTCCTAAACCTCCAAGATGTGACAGACCAGACACAGTGTGTAACTCCCAGCAGCTGTGCGCAATGTGTGGGGACGGCCCCGAACTGGAGCCTGGGTTCCTGGGGGGGCGGAGGGGGTCCTGGGGTGGGAGTCAGAGACAAGTGCAGGCAGGGGTTGGCTCCTTTATTGGGGGGGTGTATTTACATAGCTAAGTACAGGGGGGCACAACCCCCACGTTGAAATTACCCTGGGGAGCAATGGGGGGTAAGGGATCACAGATGGGGTCACTGGGCAGGCTAGGGGTTATAGAGGGGTCACATGAGATCACAGGGGTCATTGGGTGAGCTGCAGGGGATCACTGGAAGTCACAGGGGGGTCATG